GAAAAAGAATACATTATTATTTTGAATATGTTATAAAAATTGTTTCATTAAAAATCTTGTTAGAAAAACTCAACAAGACAAAATCTTTATCATGGAAAAATATTACAGTGCGTAATTACTTTACTCATGATAATGTCTTCTGAGATGTGTATATCATGTTTATCAACTACTCAAATATTGTGTAGATAATGACTTTGTGAGTATATATGCTACAACATAACCAAGTGTAAACAGATACACTAGTTTGATGAGTTTTATGTGTTTCATTTAATTCACTGCATCATAACTAAGTAGTCTTGAATCATGAACTATTAGTAAGATATACTGCACTTAAGAATTGTCCACCTCATCGCCTCAAAAAGTAGATGACCAATAAATTATTAATTGCTATCAAATTGGAGTAAAAAAAATTTCCTTTTTCACTTCAAGAAACAAATAATCATTGTATATCAAATGGACACGTCATCTTTTTCATATGAAAGATCTTTAGGTATTCCTGTATTATATAAGTTGATTAATAAATAAACTTTCGATCGGCTAAATGTTCGACATGTAGGTCTAAACAAATTTTTTTTCAAGATATTTTATCATGTATTCCTTCAGCTTTCAATTTCCTTATGAAACTCTTTAGGAGTTCCAATAATATTTAAATTATTGACAGTTATAATGACAAATTCAAATATTTATAAATATATGGATATAAAGTCATAACCTATTTTTAACATATATTCACTGAAAATGATCATACCACATAATTTTGTATTGCAAAATATATGTGTACTTTGACCGAATAAGTGTCTCAAAAACTTGAATTGTATGGTTGGTAGTATCCTTCAAGGATGTGTATTATATGATAATGTTAGTCATATCAAATGGATTGATTATAATCACATCCATATCAAGTTTCGTGTATTTCAAGATAATAAGTTATCAACTTAGGATTGCGTCCACAACAATAAAAAAAATATCTATTTGTATCACTATTTGCAAAAATTATTATGTTAAAAGTCGTACATTTTGGGACTTCAATTTCTCATTTACTTTTCACATAAATACTATTGATTTATACCTTTAAGTGTTTGTATTGCAAGTCAAAAAGTTGTAAGTTTCTCAAGTACGTTCATTTGTCGGATTGTATCCTTTTATGAGGCCATTCATTTATGCAATAATATTTTTCAAACGATTTTCTTAAGTACCCTCATAGTCATTTAAAATATGAAGTCCTATAACGTGTACAAAAGTGTTGGTGACAACTTTTTATTTTCAATTTCATTTATTTCTTGTAACTATATGATATATATTTTCGTTCTGGATATCTGAACATCTTTTGGGATTTTATGACTAGTTATATTATATGTTCTCCAAAAGTATATGTATAATCAATGAGATCATAATTACTTTTGCTCCATTTTTCATTTGGAGGTTTTTATGTTGAAATTGAATGATATCACGCTTCTGACGTATGGTAGATTCATCAAATAAAATGTTAACGATTAGTTATTTTCAGAACGTTAATATGATTTAGAACATTTACTGTCGAGATTTAGTTAGTATCTTTTAAGTCAATAAATGTATCTTGCAATTAAGTTGTCTTTCGAACTTTTGGTTCGTATGATCATTTTGCGAGGATATTGATAGCATAATTAAATTGGTACCAAGATATAAGTTGCATAATTAGTACCAAAATTCAACTTAAGTATCTTATAAAACAGAAGACTTGAGTTTGAATATTAAGAAACGCAATAGAAAGTTATGAGGGATGAAATGGGCTGAAACTCTCCTAGAGCGATAGTATGTATAATATAATAGTTTGAATACAATGTCTGGATCGTTTCATAACCAACAAGCATGTTTTTTTAAATTCATGTTAATGTAAAATTATGCTAAAAAGAGTAATAAGGGTGCCACGTAATAAATGAGACCGCCAGTTAAACAGATGCAATAGTCTACCAGCAAATGATTATTTTTTCAATTAAATAATAGATAAGAAATATAATAGTCATAAAATTTAAATTTAAGCTTCATTGGGAGCATTAATGTAGTTTGTATATTATTAAGCCCCTGTTTGATTCCCATTAAATTACATTCTATTTCTTTCTCCTATTTTCAACCACACAATCTTTCATAAAATAATATTACACGTAAATCGAAAATTTTTCCTTCTTTTTCAACCATTCATTTTTTCAACAAAAAACTATTCCCCCCATTTTCATTACCAAAAATGGGGGCCAAATGGGGGGTAAGTCTAAAGTTATTTTTTCTTCGAGAGCAACAACATAATATTCATACCCAAACTTTTGCTTAATTAACAAATAATATTCTTCTAGATCATTGGTCAATACTTTATCAAAATTGATAATACAATATTCTTTAGGAGTATTGATACGAACTAGTAAATTTCATTCAAGCAAACATAGTCTAACATCAATTGATGTATTTAGAACGATATAACCAAATCGAATTACGTAAACCACTTTGTTATGTAATTTAAAGTGAAGAGAATCCTCGTATTTTCTTTCATAAGAAAAGAAGAGTTTTTTATTTTGTTTTTTATAAATAATTTTGATTGACTCAAACTTGGGTCTGGGCGTCGTGAGCCGTTCGAGTATTTAAATATCTGGAACCATCCATTATAATTGAGATATTTCGTAAATGAAACCATTCGGGTACTTGTAATTATTGGAACTAAATCTAGACCCAAACCATCAGTTTCGGTCCAATTTTACCCATATTTTTTTTATTTACATTAACATATATTTTCATCTAAGCCATTTCAATACATTTATTTAACACGCTACTACTTGATAGATTTGTGCAAGGAAGAAAATTCAGCTAAAAAATCCTTATGAAGCAAAATAGTACAGAACCAAAATTATAAAAAGAGGAGAAAATTAAAACATCAAAAAATAAGTTGCAATATGAGAAGAAAATGTTTTTTCTTAATAAATTTTATTCAATCCATAAATGAGACGTGCTGGAGTGTATAATTTTTAATTGTGGATAATGCTTAAATTTTTTTCTTAAAATGAATCGACATAAAAAATACTAATTAGAAACATAATTACAGTGCTGTAAAAAGCTCGCTTAGGCGGCGCCTAGGCATTGCCTAAGCTCGAAGCTTGGGCAAAATGCCTTGCTTCGGCTTAGACGCTTTTTTTTTCCAATTATTAAAAAGTCGATTTTTTCCTTCATTTCTTTTGTTTTCGTAGACGAACTTTATTAGTATTTTCTTAAAAGACTTTTAGCTTATTATTATTTAAAAAAAAAAACTTTCATTTGACTTTAATTTTAAGTTTTTAAAGATTTCAATTTTAAGTTTTTAAAGATTTTATACGTACCAAATTTAAAAATAACTTTATCTAAATAAAATAATTAAATAAAATTTAAGTTTTGTTGTTATCTATATTATGTATTATGATCTTTAGACTTATTTTATTAGAAACTCCAAAAGTATGTATTAAGTTCCAATAAATCTATTAAGTAGGATTTATCTAGTTGAAAATTGATATTATGAAAAATATTCTAATTTTTTCATTTCTAAAACTTGAAAAATTGTATAATTGACTAATGGTAGGAGTTATTAAGTAAATATTGTATTTCATAATTTTAGATGTTTAATATGTATTATTTTAATTATTAAATAATTTTTAAAATGATTAAAAATTTAAAATAATGTTATAAATAAGGAAACGCTCTTTTACGCCTAAACATCACTCAGGCTCGCTTAAGTTCGTAAAGCTTGAAATTTTGACTCTACATTTAGTCATGCTTTACGTTTTTTAGAACACAACATAATTATATAATATAAAGCAATTGTAGTCCACATATTGTCATTGAACTCGCTTTTTTTGAATAAAAAGAAAAAAAAATTAAAAGAGAACTACAAACTCAAAATAACCAAAAAGATACACAACAGTCCAAGTTATGAATATATCAAGTATAATTGCCAAACATTATAATTTTTTTTTTAAATCACTTGAATTTGTAAACAATGAAAAAAAAGCAAAATCCTTGAATTGTAAAGAATGAACATTTTAATTCATCAACTTACATTACAAACTAACTTGAACTTTTAATTCATAGAAAGTTCAAATTACAAATATTAAAATGCACTAATATTTGAATTGCAACAATTTGATAAGAGACGAAAGGGAAAAAAAGTAGACGTTTGGCTTGATTTTTTTAGGGTTAAAGTTTATAGTTTTGAACAAATTACTAACCAAATTAATGAATCTATAAATTATAAATAAAAAACTTATATAAAATATTGATTTTATCATAATACCATAGTTTTGGTTCGTGGACCAAGAACTGACTCAAACTTAGCCAGTTTTCAATTTCGATTCCTAATTTATTTATTTTTGAAATCAGTTCGAAACCTTCGATTTCGATAAAAATGCCCAAGTCTACTAGAACTTGTCTTTCTTTGAATGGAAAGAAAAATTATTGTTTGTATCTCAACTTGCTAGAAATTGTGCTCATAACACATAATAAAATAAAATAAAAAATAATAAGAAAGAGAATAAAGAAAAGATCAATATCTAATATTTATAACATAATATTATCAGGACTACAGGCATATAATATTCATTCCCAAACAGTATTTAATTTATAATAAATAGATATAGACACTTATATTTTTTTGGAAAGCAATAAATACAACCAAATTTCACGTTATCTTACCTAAACACTTCACCTCGAGAAGGATAATAAAGCTTTTCTCTATCTATCTATGTTGTTCGAATATGCTTGTATGAATGAAACATTTAACAAATTAGACCCCGTTGGGTATACATTAATGTAAAAATAAAAATAAAAAATAACTATTACGAGCCCCACAAAAAAAATAGAAAGTCAAAATAATGACTTGATGTGATGGATAATGATCATATTTTTTATTTTAATAAGCTAATAATAGGAAACAAACGAGTGCTAAAATTTAGCTGTTAAGGTGACTTAAGTTTAAAGTTTGTGGCCATTAGTAAAATTAAGGGCGTCTACCTGTCTCAGAATCCATATCCTGAAAATTGCTCAGTGCCTCAAACTTCGTCAATCCCTCAAGGGCTTCAACCCTAAATACTCCTATTTTAATTTTTTCTTCGATCAAAATCTCGTTAGAAATTTGAGTTCAATCCTCAAAATAGGTGGTGGTTCTTCTCGCTGGGCCGCCTACTGATCATCTTGCCGGCAGATCTTCCGTCTCAGTTTCTTGCTTGTGATTTTACTGGGACGACTTATTCGTAGTTTTTTAGTGGATTAAGAACTGTATGGGAGTGCTGAAGAATCTGCCTAGAGAAAGGAAGTTTTGAGTCCAGGTAATACTTGCAAGTTCTGATAATTTTTATGCTTCAACCTGCAAATGTAAATTGAATGCTGATTGTAAATGCAATTGGGCCTTTTTTTTATATAGAAAAAGGCAGGAACGTGAACAATTGGCACATGCAAAATTGTGACTTCTTAATCCAAAATGAGGACTAATTAATTGGAGAACGCATTGGCTGTACTCCTCTGCCTAAATATTTTGGAAATTTATATGTGGGTTTATTTTATTATGTGTAAAATGCTGGAATTCTTATTCTTCATTGTTATTAAAGGGAACATTAAACTTTTCTTTATCTGCTCGGTTTCATTAACAATTTTAAGGTTCTTGCTCTGGATTAAGGGTTGTGTAATTGTTGGAGCAATACAGTTAATAACTACTTAGAGAGAATATGTTATGATTATTATCGACTTCTTAGTTATTTAATTTGGGACTCTGCCTATTGGAATTAATTATTGAGAATTATACTAGTACTTATAATTTAGTAGTACTTTGATTATTAGTAGTGTTTGATTGTGATCATGAGCGGGAGTTATTATTTGCAGCTTGTTCTCAGCCTTGGTTCAGTTTTAATTGATTAAGATGTTTGAGTTCAGAATTTATCTTTCGTTCATTTTATTTTGCTTTTAGAATCTAGAATGTCGCACAATCAACCTCCTATAAAGAAGGAAAAAAAACTTCTATTCATCATTCTTTAGAAGACAGATGGGGCCAATGACGATACACCTTCTGGGTCTAACAAGAGAGTCCAAATTTCTAGTGCGCTACCACGTTCAATATCTCTTGATAAGCATATATGACTTGCTGAGCAATAGATTTAGATTTTCTGATAGATGAACTTTATGCTAATAAAACTTGTTAGGCTCAACTTAAGTTTATAATTTCATATTTGACCTTTTGTGTGATATATAAAATTTTAATCTTGTATTGATTTTTTAAAAATTTTTAGCCCCCCTAATAGTGTTCTAGGTCCGCCCTTGGATACAGTAAAAGTGGATGACAAATTTTCGAAAGGCACCATTCTAAAGATAGATTATGTAGCTTTATTAATTGATTAACTTGTACATGAATTGTTAAAAAAAATTGTATTTATGAATTTGTGAGGATAGTTGTTTCATGCGAAATGTAAATTTTTGATCAAGTAAATAACATGACAAAAGGGGTTTATAGTGTTGATAAATCAATCGGGTTACTTGATGTTGAGTTGTTAAAACGCTTGTATATGCAAATTTTGCACAATCAAGTTTTGTGATATTTAGAGTGTGATCATGTACAATAGAAGTGATATTTTATTAATGTCATATGCCATCATGGGTTGTTCGATAATTTGAAACAGTTAAACAAGGTCAAGACTAAGATATCTTGAATATAGACTTGTCTCACCCCTGAGGGTAAGTGATATGGTCTTGAGGAAAGCACCATCACCTTTGAACTCATCGAGGAGACAAACCTCTTGATAGAATCAATTAATAGACACAAATAAGCCCATATTTGATCCCCATTATCTAAAAACTTATTTTTTTTCCCAAACTCATTTTCAACCACATATTTTCACAATAAATTTATTTTAATTGTAAACCAAAAACTCTTTTATACTTTTTAACTACACATTCTCCAAAAATTTACTATTACAAGAATCGTTTTCAACAAAATTGGGGCTCAAACATTATTAAATCAACACGTTCATGAACGGTTGAAGATAAACAATACACTTGAGAAGTTGAGGAAATTGATACACTTCCTTAGAGTATCTAACATTCTTAGGTCCACAAAAAATGAAAATGGTTATTCTTTGTTATTGTTGGAGTTATTGTTGCATTAACAAAATATTTGCATATTTGGATACATTCCATCCGTAATTCAGGTACTCGACTCCACTGAGAAATGAATCAAGTTTAATTTTATTTAACTAATTTTCAAATGTAAATTAACCAATTCTCTACAAGATTCAAGTAATTATCTGAATTTAGTTTCCATCGTGATAGATCATCGCCTGGGACTCTGAAAATTCTGTACTCACCAGACTGAAAGAAGAAGGCAAACAAATTTTCGATTGGAATTTGACCAGAATAATAGAGCATGAGGATAGTGGGATTGACTGGAGGCATTAGTTCAGGAAAGAGCACGGTCTCCAATCTTTTTAAAGCCCACGGTATTCCCGTTGTTGATGCTGACATCGTTGCTCGAGTAGGATTTTAGTATTTTCACTTAATTTATTTCCACTTTATGCAATTCCGAAACCCTTATTTATGCCTTTTTTTTTTGTCAACTGAGTAAATGATAGAATGTATTGAAGAAAGGCGCGGGGGGATGGAGAAAAGTAGTGGCTGCATTTGGGGATGATATTTTACTGGCTAATGGAGAAGTGGATCGCCCAAGGCTTGGGCAAATTGTCTTCTCTGATCCTGATAAGCGCCAGCTTCTTAATAGGTACACTGTTTGTGCACTGTTAACAATGCAGGTAGACTTTGACTTATAAATGTAGTGTCCTTTATTGTTTTATCGGTTGAATGCTGGGTAAGAATTTGGTAATGACTGCCTTTTTAGTGAAATTTTGTCTAGAAATAGTTGGTATGATAATTGCTAGTAGGTGATCTTTGATCTCTATACTGTGTAGTTTAAAATATACAGCTTCAGGTAAGTTGTTCAGGTGATTAGGGTAGCCCAAAAAGTCTGTCTGCCATTTGAACTTACTTTTCTGGTATTCTGAAACTGTTTGCTGTTTATGTAAAGATATATTTTTGACCAATTCATATGAAATATGTTGATCTGGGGCAGCGTTGAACTCCAATCAACAACAGAATGGTTCTGGTGAACTGTAACCATACTAGAAATCAATGTATAAATTTTAACATGTACATGTATAGGTGTACGTGTAAGTTATTGATTGGTCAGTAATGTCTTCTGATATTGGCTTTCCAAAGGAAATTGTTGTTGGAATTAGTCAATTTGATGACTGGGTTGAGTAAATATGGATGGGTTGTTCTGGTAGGTAACCTAACATGCCTTATTGCACACACATAGATTTTGAAATTTTTGACGTTCTTCTTTATGTTGAGATAGATTTGACACACATGTAGATGTATTTTGCATGATATTTGCTTAAATTCCATCTCCACGCTGGCGGAGTATTATTCTAGTGATCTGGGTAGCAAACTAAGTCTACTGCAATATGAGTCCATTTTCCTGGCATTCTAAAAGACTAACTGATATGTTGTTTTTATTACGTTACATGTCTGTTTGATTCATGAAAATTATGCTGACGTGTTTAGATAACATTATTTCTGACTTTTTGGAGTTTTCATTAGTCTTGACAAATTTTAACAAGAAAATCATGACACCGAGGATGTGTTTGATTGGCTTTATTTTCAATTGAAAATGTTCTTTTTTCCACTCAAGTTCTTATTTTTGAGGTGTTTGATTGACATTTTTTTCATGGAAAATATTTTCAAAAAGTTGGTCATGTGTCTATGTTTTCCTTAAAATCAAGGAAAACATTTTCTTTAGTGAGAGATAGGTTTTTATTTTCTAGGTGATTCTCTCTCTATCTCTCTTATAGCCACTAACAAAAGATGGAAACGTACAATATTTTCTAGGTCGAAAATTAAGTCAATCAAACACAATTAATGGACATTTTCATGTAAATAGGTTCTAGGCAATTTTCATGCACATTTAATTAATTGCAAGTTTCATACCTGCAAGCAAACACACCCTTAGATTCCATTAAGTGGACCTTTTTCTTTGGATAAAGTAAACATTCATATCTTCTCTTATGAATCACGTACTGGTTCTGGTGACTGTCAACTTTTCATGATCTATTATTTTGATAACATTATTAATTTTTTGGTTTATAAACTCATTAATTTCTAAGATTTTGATCGAGCAATCTCAGATTCATTTTATTGGAACTTCTGATTCTTCGAATTAGAAACTCAGCTAATTATTAGCCATTATCTGTCCACCACACTTCGTGTGGTTATAAGATAGCCAATAAGCTCCACCTAAACATGCTTGATGAGGGAAAATTTTTCTCCTGTATTTTAAGGGTAAAATTATTCATCTAAAACTTGTTAGACCAGTAATATCCAACAAACTATGTAGCAAACTGAGTTTTGAGGTCTTAGTGCAATTTTCAGATACCTTAGTCTTAGTGCAATTTTCAGATACCTTTAGTGCATGTTAAAGAAATGGCTGCAAGATTGCTAAAATTGAAGTTGTGAAAGAATAATGTTTAATCCCGAGTCGATAGTAAGACTCTAGTTATTGAATATGTTACACACTTGAATTTCGATATGAAGGGTGTTCTCTTCTGGAAATCCTAGCTATTCCCAACATGCATAGGAAAATATCAATGCCATTATGTCTGCTTGATATTCATCCACAGGTCGAATCGCATATGACATTACTGGAATAATTTGTCATTTTTGTACAGGTTGCTTACACCTTATATTTCATCTGGAATTTTCCTCGAAGTGTTGAAGCTATGGATGAAGGGTTGTAAAATTATCGTTCTTGACGTGCCTCTACTGTTTGAAGCCAAGATGGACAAGTGGACGAAGCCCATTATTGTAGTTTGGGTTGATTCTCAGACTCAACTTCAGCGACTTACAACTAGAGATGGGACAACGGAGGAAGAGGCGAAAAACAGGATCAATGCTCAGATGTCTCTGGATCTAAAGAGAACCAAGGCAGATATTGTGATTGATAACTCAGGATCACTGGAGGATTTGAACGATCGCTTCAGTGAGGTACTCATACAGGTCAAAAAGCCTTTGACATGGCGTGAATTTGGGGTTTCTAGGGACGGAGTTCTCTTAGGTTTTGTTTCTATTCTGTTCGGCATCTTCATATGCAGGAAAATCTTGTAATTGTATAGTAATGATGATGATGACGATGATGATTGTAGATGAATTTAAACTGTGCTAAATTCTCAAATGTATTAATAATTTACTTTATTGATATTGTAACTGATATTGTAATTTTTTTTTTTTAATTTTAGTCGAGGTGAAAAAAATGCAATACATTATACATACCCTTTGGGCCTTTTCTAAAGGTTGAACCCCCAACCTTGAGGATCTCCACCGCCTCGTCCCGTCCCTAGAGTTTTGTGAGAGAGGTAAATTGCGGGATGTGTCCCAACAGGTCAAGGAATAAGAGCTGTCTGTACACTGCACCTACAAGGAGTCCAATTCCATATTTTAGGAATCGAACCCCCATACTACGGCTGACAGCAAGGCGTGAGAGAACCTCATTCCTGTCCTTTGTATACATACTCTTTCCTAACTACATCAAGAGGAGGTTTTTAAGACTTGGCTCCACGTTCTTTGTCAATGTGATAGATATCAACTTGTCCATTTCTAAACAAATATTTAAAAAATTAAACATTATAATTATGGCAAAAATTATATTTAAATATCTAAAAGTAAACCCTTAATCCCCAATTTTTTAAACCAAGCTATTAATCTTTGAAAATGTCAATTGTTTTGGTAGGTTTTGAAAGGTTCAAGCATTGAGGATTTCAACTTCTTTACAGCAAAATAGAATAAGACCACAGCCTGCAGCCAGTTAATTTAAAGATTATAATATTGTACATAATCCTTGCAGATTATTATAATAATCGAGTCAAAAATTAGGACAACTATACTGTTGAAGGTTGTTTCCATATCTAAAATGAACAAGTTGCATTTTTTCTCCCTCTTTTTAGTTTAATAAACTTTGGAAAACAAAGAAAATTTCTCGTAATTGTATAATTCAATCTCATCCCATTTATGTCCAAAAAATGATCCATTATTTGCGTACTCCAAAAAGTTTTGGATCTTTCGAAAATGAATTTATCAACTCAAAATGCATTTTGACACTTCAATTTTGAAAAATGAAAAATAAAAAAATTGTAGTATTGAAAAGTTTTCTAAAGTGATTTTATTCATATAACTGCTAGTTGTCATGTTTAACCTAACATTAAAATACTCAACTAATTTCGTTATATACTTTTTAATACTAGATTTTCGACCTCCAAGTCATCTCGATCGATGCTACACTAGAAAAATCTTTCGATCGTCGTCAAGTGAAAATTTAATCCCAAATTTAATTGAGATTACATGATTATAAGGAATAAACAATTGGAGTGGCAATTTAGAAAATTCATAGAATATCAGTACTAATTGCATAATCCCTTGCCAACCCGCTATATTTACTGCCGATTCTCGCCAGAAGAGAGACCATTGACAAACAACAATGCGTATCTCTCTCTTTCGATGCTTCATATTCTCCGCGGTGCTGGTGGCGGCTCTGCTCATCTCTGCCGCTAACGCCGGAGGCGACGAGTTCAGCTGGATGCCAGTAAAATCACAGTGCAATGGATCCATAGCAGATTGCATCGACGCCGAAGGTGAATTGGAAATGGATTCCGAAAGCAATCGGCGCATTCTAGCAACCACCAAGTACATTAGCTATGGCGCGCTGAAAGCCAATAATGTACCATGCTCGAGGAGAGGTGCGTCGTACTACAACTGCCGTCCTGGTGCCCAAGCTAACCCCTACACCCGTGGTTGCTCCGCTATCACGCGGTGCCGGAGTTAGTTTTCCGTCAATTTTAATATATGCATCTGTATGTATAACTGTGTGACTCAGTTTATAATAATTGGCGTTTTGTGTTTAAATATCTGATTTATATACACAAGTTTATTGAAAGTTCGAAATATTATTTCATGGTTTGTGCCTTGCGGTCTATTAATTATAATTTTTATTTAATTTGATCATTTGATTAGTTAGTATTCAAATTTATTAAGGAATATCACATAGCTATTTCAACCTATTATTTTTCTTTACGAAAAAGATTAGACATTGCATTAGTTCATGCATCATGACAAGAATTCTCTCTCTCTAAAAAAAAAAAGGTGTATATGAAAGAAAGAATATATATTCTTTCTGTCGAGTTTATTTCGTTCCTATTCTCCATTCTCAGAAAAATGGGAACATTACCAAAGTAAAAGATTACTTTGTACTTGATAGTTATTTACTTGATCAGTGTATAACAACATACTCTGGATCTATATTTTACTACTCCCAAAAAATAATTTATTATTTTTCTCTATCTTTTATTTTAACTAGCTGTTCTTTATATTATTTTATGATTTTTCTACAATGAAAGTTGAAATACTTTGAATACATTTAATTATAAAGAGTGTGTTTGACTCTTTAAATTTAGATAGTGACACTCAATCTCTAAATTAAAATGTTAATCTAGGCATTGTTTGAGCCCCATTTTTATCAAAATACATTTTTTTTCTTTTTTTTTTTCAATCACATTCTTCAATGAAATAATATTATATGTAAATCGAAATTTTTTCTTATTTTTCAACCATACGTTCTACAAAAAAATACTATTTCAAAATATGTTTTTAACCAAAAATAGAGCTTAAACAAGAACTTAAAGAGTATCATGAAGTATAATTTTAAGAGTTGATTTTTTAAAATTGAGAGCATTTCATATTTAAAGATCCTCTTAAGGCTGTAAAATATATATTTGTTGATATATTGGAAATTTTCCCCTTATTTCAATCATTTGTAGTTTTCTAGAAATAATTAAAACAAACAAAAAAGAATTCATATTGCAACTAATCAAAAGTAGAAAGGTAGGTTGGCTTATTGGAGGGGGTGGGCCAACAAAAAAACTACGAGCCCAACTAACTTTATACATCTAAATCGACTCAAAATTTTATTATTTTGAGTTTCCATCGGTTCGTGATTCAAAAAATGTACGAGTATAATTATATATTGGGAAAAGGATACGAAGAATGTGAATACCGATAGTGCATGAGTATCGTCAACTTATGTAAAGTTAAATTCTGTGTTTAATTGTTATTATTTAGTGAGTCATATTATTCGTATAAACTAGGTTGACAAACTTGGTTTACAAATTATGTGTTGACAATATCTAGGCCAATCATTTCAAACACAATTTTTGAAATCTATGGCCTAGATCTTGCTAACACTTAGTTTGTAAACAATGTTTGTATAACTAAATTAATTCTTATTAGTTTGGAGACAAATTGAATAGTTGATATAGTCCATTGAACTGGCAAAAGAAGAAACTATTAATATGTTTTATACTTGAAAGATAGTTGTTAGGGATGGAAAAAGTCAGATTGGCTCAGAGAAACTACATATAAAAGTAAGCAGGTTGAAAGGCAAGTTGAGTTTTATATATTACAAAAACTTTTCAGAGAGCTTTGAGACTCAATAATAGGTCACTATCTAAATGACAGTCTAAACAGGAAATGGAAAATAGACTCAATCAATCATTAAATCAATGTATGCCCATTGTTGGAAGGAACGAGCAAGAGTTTGATTAAGAATTTGTCTTCTTTCATGGCTTATTTTTTGGACCTTTGTACAAAAAGAGTGAATTAAATTGACTAATTACTCATTCATGTCCTAAAATAAACATAGTAAACCATCCATCCCTCCCTCTCCACACCAACTCTAGACGTTCACCCTCAACCAAACCCCCTCGTCAACACAAAACATTAGTCAAACCACCCTTTGAAAAATCGAGATTTGACCCGTATACTAAAATCTATTAACTAGTTATTCGTCCATGTCCTTGAATTGACATAGTAGACCATCTCTCATCTCTCTATAATAACTCTAGATGTGCATCCACCACTCTGTATAAACCTTGTCATCACAACAAATGATTAGCCGAACATCACTTCGAAAAATTGAGTTTTACAACAGCTAAAACCATGTTTTTAACACCAAAAAATCGTGTAGTGAGAAATAAATTTTTTTAAACATATTTGCTGGAGTACTTTTACTTTATTGATATCAACTTTTACCAAAACCAGAAGCAACAACTTAGTTTGTTGAAAGGATAGAACTCTTCAATGAGGCAAGTGATGATGTGTTCCAGCTCATATATTCTGCATCCTTTTCATTTCATAAGACAATGCAATCAAGTAAATTATACCATGTCCAAGTCCAGCTGATCTCACTTTAGTACCAAATCAATGACAAAAGAAATATAAAATATAAATTTATTCAAAAGAGAAGATTCCATAGGCCAGCTGTAATAAGGACAAATATAGTTGAGTGAATAATGGGATATACAAATCTGACAAATTATTAATAGTGTACTGTTGTCAAGCAAGGGTAAACATGTTGCCATGTTGGAAATGGATATCCTTCAAGAAATTAAATTTAACTTCCTACAAGGGCAGAAACCTTATTTGTTACAAAATAATGATAAGTTGGCCACCCATTGTTGATAAAATGCAGCTCCCATATATTGATTTAGCATATGATATCTACAAGATAGTTATTAAATCCCTCTAGGTCCAAGAATCAAGATGCTCGATCCTTTTTAAGTTTAATAACAATGATCACAGATCACAAAATGCGGGTCCATTAGGTTTGTACTGACTTACCATGTACTGAAGTACGTTTTCTACCTACAAATTGTGAGAATTCAACAGCACAATCAGCAACCCAGAAGAGAAAGTCATTGCTTGTTCTATAATTGGTCATCAATCCTGCTACACGACCAGATTCAGTGACATAATTTTTTTTCTAGACTACACTTGGCAGATTTTAATTGGAAGTTGGAAAAACAAAACACAAAAACACTCAATCATGAGCTGCCACATCACCTTTTTTTCTTCCCTGTTTGAGTAGCAATTTATCTGATTGTCTTTTATACTGTATCATTGTCTATAGAGGTGTAAAATGAGATGTGCATGTTATGACATATGCAACTTTTATGAGCCGATTCTTAAATTGGTGCTTGTAGCCCATGTGGGCCAATTTTTCTGGAAAGAAATAAATATGCCTATTTCCTGGTTTGAGACCCTTTAGGGGGATAGGAGATTTTCTATACTTTTTCAAGAAAAGTGTTGGCTTCGTATTACACCGAATGGATTACCCTTCTGAGTCATGTCATGACCATGCATTCTGTTTTCATATTGGTTCATCATACAATCATGTTTGGGAGTTGTATATGCTCGACTTTCATTAAAGAACACATAAAGCCTTCATTTGAAGAAGATAACATAATGGAAATACAAAGTTTATTTTTCTCTTGGGTTTGCAATATATTTAAGAACGCCAACATCAACTTGCTATTAAGAGTGCACCCTTAGGGCCTGCGTGAGAATTTTGAGATATATGGGTGTTTTTTGAAGTGAAAATTACATACACCACATAACTGTTATTTTATTAATTTTCGAAGAATACTTGGTAACATTTTTTCCCCTAAATACTATAAAATTATAGTAAAAACAAAAGCATAAAAATCCATCTAAATTGTACTAGGCGATAATTATGGTAGCTAATATTACTCCCTCCAAACACGTCCTATATCACCATTAACAAAAACATAATCCCTAAAATGGTGCCTTTTCACGTTGCAAAGCAAATCTTCTCCAACCAAACTCTCAAAAAATCCCAAAACCTTATCGGAGGCTGACCGTAAAACAATTTCATAACATTATTCCAGAAATCATTCGCATGCAAACTGTAATTACCCGATGTAATGAGAAGTGGGCTTCAAGATTCACATGGATTATGACAACACACAGAAGCAATTTCAATTTGTGCTCCAATAAAAGGAACCACAACAGAGTACAAACCACCAATATTCATGCTGGTACAAGCCTTCCTCCATCTCTAACCTTGTACATCGTAGCCTGATGCGGGATAGGAGGTTGAAAGGTGTAGTGGTTGAATAGATATTGCAGAATGAAGTTAGATAATGACAGGATATTGGTGTGGGTTATTTTTGCATGTCAGTTTTTGATTAGTTTCTAAAGTCGATGCTTTATGTTCAGTGTTTTGGTATGCTAACTAGTATGCAATTTTATTATTATTATTATTTTTTTGGAGACACTGCAATGAATATGTAATCATGTCGCTGAGTGAAGCTAACTTTTGTAAATTCTGGTGTTTTTTTTTTGGGAAATTCAGGATGAGCAATGATGCAATCACATTTTTAATATATGGCAGAATGAAGTATTAGTTATTGACAGGGTACTGGTATGACTAATATTTGTATGGAAGCTTTAGATTAATCTTTTAATGCTCTTTATGTTCAATACTTTTATGTCCAGTCTTTGGTATGTGAACTCTTTTGCAATTACACCTTGTTAGCAAATAGGACAATGATGCTGCAGAGTGACACTATCTTAGTCGAATCTAATATTCTAGATTGACAGTTCCGAACATGCAATGTTGCAATGTATTATATATTACCAATGTTCTAAGGCGTTATCACTTTCAGCCTTAATATCAGAAGCAACATCACCAATTGTAATCTCGAGTGACATATTACAAGTTGATTATTTAATTGTGGATCAGTGTTCATTTCACGAGGTGGACTTTGAATTTTTGAATGTAATAATTGATTATTGTTCTATGAAGCTAGTGGTAAAATCTCCACGATCGGCTCATTCTTAATCTCTAGACAAACAAGAAAGCTATTTAGTTGGGCATCTCTATCTTTCAAATTCAAGTAAAAGAAAACATTACAATCATGTGATATTTCGATGGGTGAGCTTCCAACTTCAGTTTTATACTTCATACGTATTGTGTTGTGACAGAATCCCCAAGAGGAACCAATACCCGTGTCATCTAATTGTCAACGTATATATCATTTTCATCCCACCATCCACCATACTTAACAAAAATCGGAACCCCATCCATACCTGTGGTTC